AAAAGCAATGTTATCAACTGCAGCAATAGCAGCATTACCAAGTGAACATGAAATAAGTAAGCAAATATCGTTCTTGTGTTCGATCTTGGTAGATCATTTTTTTATTTCAAGACAGTGCTTTTAATAAAGCTCGTCGTGCAATTACACCAACAATATCCAACAACACAATTCTTTGATATACCTGATCCATATTCGAAAACATTGAGAAACACTACTTTTTTAATTCTTGACAAGACGATTACTCGACGACAACGAATTATTCTATTTGAAACATTAGAACAATTGAAAATGCTTTTTACAGCTGAAACGATACTTATGGATGGAACATTCTCAACTTCTCCTAGTATGTTTGATCAGGTTTATACCATACATTCGATTATATATGAACAATGTGAGTTATTAGTTTTTATCCTAACTATCTATGCGCGTCTAATCCTTTCTCTATTTAGCATTTCCTTGCGTTTTTGGCTTATTACCGTCTAGATATAAAAGTACATATCAGTTTTTGTTCCATGAGCTCAAGTCAATCGCTACACAAATGAATTTCAACTTTATACCGAAAATGATAATGAGCGATTTCGAGCCGGCTTTAGCTGGTGTTGTTAAAGCTGAAGTGAGTGTTTTATATTTCTTGTGGATGAGACATGTGCTTGGATTTTTTATCTTATAGTTTAGTACATCAACACATGTTTCGTGTTACTTCCACTATAGTCAAGCCATATATCGTGCAATACAACGAGTTGGATTATCTTCATCTTACAACAATGATGATAGTATTAAACATATATGTCGACAATTAATGGCACTTCCACTATTACCAGAACCTGTTATTGAAGATACATATGATGAATTAATACGAAATTCGTCAATAACAATGAGAAAAAAATTAAATGATTTATTAGAATATTTTGACGAACAATGGTTTAACAAAGTTCCTATTTCTCAATGGTGTGTCCATGGTTTGTCTATACGAACTAATAATAATGCCGAAGGTATATATTTCAATCTATCTCTCTCGTAATTTCACACTCGTATATTTTATTTAGCATTTCATAGTCGTTTCAATCGTCGAGTACAACTTCATCATCCCAACATGTGGTCATTTATCAAGTTTCTTAAAGGAGAAGAAAGCCGTTTTCATCATATGTATACTCAATTCAATGCAGGTTTAGGAGCAAGA